CAGCTTGTTCACACACGCCTCAACCTCGTCCTCAGTGAACTCCTTTTCTAGTTCTACGTTCCCAACGTTTGCCTTCGATGTCTCTTCTTTTTGGGCCCATGCGTCCACCTCCTTCTTAAACACTTGGTCAAAAGCTTCATTCTCCGAGGGCACTCCAAGTCTCTTGTAGTGCCCTGCTAGAACTTGCTTTTTTCCCTTCCCACTGCCGACTAATCCACCGTCCACACCTCCGAGGGGGGGGGCATTCTTTTATGTTTTGCATGCCTTAGCGGTAGATCATTGACCACGCTTCCCCGAGAGGATGGAGCATTGTTCCCACAGGACCGATCTCCGATGGCCAATCGTTCCTTCCTATTTTGCCAGGGGTGGCTCAAAAATATCTGTCCTGCGGTATCATTTTGCGAGTGGGGATGGAACGACAAGGGCCCAAAAGTGCAGCAGCAGCAGCACAGACGGTTTCTGGGCCGGTCGTCGCCCGGCTCTCCGTGAAAATAAAAGCACGGACGGCGGTGAAGGGGTCTCGATCGATGCATGACCTCAGCACGGCCACGACGTTCGGCAACACCACCATTTGCTGTGCAGACCGTTTCTGGCAGAAGAGCTGTCGTCGACTCTCGGAGGGAGGGTCCTTTGGGGTGTGTCTGGTGAATGATTTTCGGGCCTCAAACCGCCTAGCGCCCGTCGCGCGCGTGCAGAGAGCGCAATCGGCCCGTCTTTTTGGTAAACCTCCCCGCCAAGTCCCTGGCTTCTTTCGGTAACGCGTCCTGCCTGCTGTGCCTCCCGCTCTTTTGTTGCCTTGGATTTGTGTGCGGTAGATATAAAAGTGGTGGTGGAGATGGTTGCCCTCTGCCCTCTGCGCCCGAAGAAAATCAAAGTTAGTCGTGGGTGAGAAACCTTCTCTCTCTCAACACCATGCTCCACAGCAGTGTTACTTCAGTGTTACTTCCTGTTCCTCCCAGCCTTTTCCCCGGTACCACAGCAGTACTAGGTTAGGCCAATCGACCAGTAGCAAGCACACACCCTGAGTCGATCGCCATCCAAAACGAGCTGGGTACCTTACTTTACTTTTGGGCTTTTGGTTTGGCCGAATTGATTTTGGGGGGGAAGGCGGGGGCCAGCATTCCACACCTCAGCGAGGTTCCAAGATGGAAGCTGTCTCTCAACCTAAGGTTTCACGAGCGAATCCGGGCGTTTGGTGATTAAAGCTAGCTTGTTATTTTCCTTTGTGAAGAGGAATGCCGGGGAAAGACATGCACTACAACAACATGCGGCCGGGGCTCCCCCCGGCACGGTCATGGCGACGGAAAAAACCACACACTTCCATGCAAAAAAAACGCACTCTCGAGAGTCTCACGCCAACACAATTCAAATAATTACGTCCGAAACACAAGTAAATGTTTACCCTCCCGGCAACGAAGAAAGCCCCAATCACGTCTACTACACACGTGGATGTATCGACTACGACGACAATCGCTCTGTTTCTAATTAAAGTTTCCCATACACTAATAAAAGGACTTTGACCTTCCCTGGTAACCTTGAGAGTTGCTCTGGGGACTGGAATGTTTCTTCTGGGGGACCGTGTGTGCGCTTCATGTACAGCGGTAGCCCGGCCGAGTGAAGAACACACGAACAAGTCACAAAACATAAGACAGGCAAGAAAGTGGTGAGATATAGGCACGCTTCCATGACAGATATTTTCCCCCAAAACCACACTAGACTATGGCTCCAGACAACGTAATTAACAAAATAAAAAAAAACAGGGAATATCGAACGCGGCGCAACTCCTCGACGTTAAACCTGTACAAGCTCACCCAGGCAAACACAACACTTTCTAGTCACCCGGTACGAACTAAAGAATCCATCCAAAATCATCACCTTTTTCAAGTCTACAAGTCCAATGGCGCTCTTGCATCCGCGGCATCAGCGGCTGCGACATCGACCCCCTACCCCGGGAAACCGGTATCGTCCATTGAACTCAGGGTTGCTTACCGCTGAGACATGGTAACACCGCAACGGAGCTCCAAAACATGCCATACACGTGCTCGCCACTTGAGTCAAACTCGAGACAGAAAACACGCCCCGTATTGGACCGGGTTCTACGTTCAAGCAAATCAAGATAAACCTCCACGGTCGCAACGGAAACTGAAACCCCTTCATAGCAGCAAGGGCTACAGCCGTAAAGGAAGCATCAACGCACCGCATGACGCAAAGAAAAAACGCCGTCTGCTACGCGACATGCCACGCAAGTCTCACCCAAAGATTGCCAAAGAACGAAAAATGAGGGACAAAAAGCACGGATCATCCAGTCACAAAACAAGCACAAAAATACGGTCGGCGGCAGTGAAAAGCTCACCACCAGGCGCTTGCAAAGCCGCGTCCAACTCGCGTTGTTGTTGATTGGGCACAAACAACACCATCTAGCTTGGGTGTGTTGTTTTGTGTTACATAGCCTTGGTCCAGAACCAACCACGAGATAACGCACCGAGACAGAGCCTTCCACGACGGACGAAATAAATAGCGCAGCACGCATCCAAAAACCAGCAGCCCTCCCTCTCCAGCCCGTGCCAAGCACGCCTTTTCATCCGCTGGCCCCTCGTGTTCCACAACCAAGGACGCCCGAATAGTCACCATCCTCAAGACAAACGTCATCCTTGCCGGCCACATCCAGCCCAGCACTACTTCAAATCGCCACTGTAGTGCCACCCCGGGAGGGGGACGGTTTCACAGGCAATAGCGGGGCAGGGCCAGCCCCCCCCCCAAGCAATACCTCATTTCAACACCTTGAGACAAGAGCGTGCGGTAGCGGTTGAAGCTCGGCCAATGGTCGAGAAGAGAAGGCGGTTCCTGTTCTCCCTAACACAACGAGGAACACGAGGAACAAAGCCAGTGGCACAACGCAAAACACACATGAACGACAAGTAACTTCCCTTACAACAGTCCCCCGCCCCCCCCGGCATTAGCAAACTGTGTGGCGGCATGGAAGTATACCATTGGGATGGCCAGATTAAGCCTCGAATGCTACTTGGTATACGCGGTACCCATATCTGCGGTGAAAATCTTACAGCGATGCTCAAATCGACCCCCTCTCTTCCTCTCTCTTTGTTTCCCCCCGTCCCCTTGAGGCGAGGCCACCGCGAAATGATCAATCACAGCAGTGCGGCGACACCAACACCATGTCCCGGGGAAACAGAATCAGCCGAGAACATTCGCCCTGCTACAACAATACAACACAAAAAACTCTCGACTCGGTAACGGGGTTTGAAAACTCCCTCCAGCACCCAGGTCCACTACGACACACAGATGTTCACAAAAAAAAGCGAAGAGGAAAAACGTACTTCACCATAATCAACCGGACACACAGCTGTGTCACAAAACATCCCTCTGTACATAGAAATAGCGATAGACAATAGTAGTAGGAAGGGGTTGGTGCACGACGTTTCTGGCGGGACCGGCAAGATACAAGGGCGCAAACAAAAACAAAAAAGGAGCCGCAATGCCGACGACACCAGTCGCCTCTAGGGGGAGCACGAGCCACACATCCAGAGAGAGCCCAACGGTCCCTCACGGCATTTTAAGAAAGTAAACGCAATCTCGCAGAAAGACCATCTACCCGTTCGAGATATAACCAAAGCCGTCGAAAGGGATGTGCTCAAGTATTTATCGGTGAGTGACACCGGCTGGAAACTGGGCTTATTTTGAGTTTGTTTTTGAAGCCCATACAGTAGTGAATTTATCAGTGATACCATCCTCCCGTGGCCAACACGCAGGCGGCCCCGTGATGCATTCCCGCACGACCCACCCTTACCCTCTCTCCAAAAACCTCAACTCTCACACGACCGAACAGCTACGATCGTGGTAGTTGCTACATACACTTTTTCTTCACGAGGATTAGGGTTCTCGCCGGTATCCCCGGTCCCTCCCTCCTACCGCTCTCTCCCCCCCGCAGTAATTATGACTGTTCTCCGACGATGGCAGCACCGGTTCCCCACCGACTGCCCTGCCGAAACACTATTACCAAGCCCGAGGCAGCAAGCCCGCAATGGACAAATACATGACACACCGGGCTGCGTCCTACGTTGTTCGTCGCGTGCCGTGCTCCGCACGCTCGCCTCACGAAACCGTGTGTTGGGCAGATTTAAGCTCTATTCAAACCTGCGCGACACGGTCGAGTTTTATTTTCCCTTCGGCCCGACCGCTCAGCCCCTAACGTTTTGATCGCCGCTTCCCTCTAGCTCCTGATACGCTTCTACGATTCACCGGCGGATGATCGCGCCGCCGCAACAAGTAAAGGAAGATGCTATGACGACCGGACGATCTGCAACAAAGGAAACGATCAAGGGCAAGAGCGATAAATACACGCGTTGTCAACTTCATGGTCAACTCCCCGCTTCACGCTGCTGAGGAGCAAACGCAGTTCCGTGCGTCGCAATCAACAGAGGAGGGGGTTACGACGTGATGGCGTCTCCCTCAAAAGCCGAACCCTGCGGCGCGTAAGTAGAAGCATGACAAGCAGAAAGCTTGCAACAGCGAGGCGCGCACTTCCGTATCGCGGTGAAAACAACACGCGTTCGGTCGACTCCTTCCTTTTCCATCGCCTTTCATCACCGCAAGACCATTACGTAAGGTACGCCGGCTTGGTTGGGGAGAGGGGGTGACGGGACGGGGGGGTGACGAGATAACTGAAACTTAACCCCACAACTTGAGAAGAGTCCATCCTGATTGCTGAAAAGTTTCGCCACGGTTGATACCTCTGCCCTTGACCGTCAGACAAGCCAAAAATGTAGCCTTTCACCTCCCGCGAAGCGAAATAATCATTCGCGCTCCGAACGTCCGCCCTCGTTCTACATCTTACCTAAAGCCCGCCCATCATCCTCATCTCCGCGCGACTCGAGGTCCCCATCCAACCGCCGGACACGCCCCCGCTACTCGACCTAGGTTCCAGCCCACCCATCCCGATGTCACCCATCGATGGGAAGCCCCCGCCCCCGCCGCCGCCGCCGCCGCCGCCGCCGCCGCCGCCGCCCCCGCCGCCGTGCATCTGAAACATCATGCTGCTCATGCTCTCTCTCGAGGAATCGAAGCTATCGTCGAGCCCGACCTGCAGGGCAGAATCCCCCGCGTCGTCGTGACGCCCCCCACCCCAGGAGTGGTTCGATTCGCCGGCCCCGACAACGGCGTTCTTCCGGCGGCCGCTGCCGCCGCCGCCGCCGTAAGACAGCCGGGAGAATCTGAAACCGCCGCCGCCCGCGGCCATCCCCGGCGAAACGTCGGCCGACTCTCCGCCCCCGCTCCCGTATCCGCCGAGTGAGCCCGGCCGCCGCTGCATCACCTCGAGGTCAAGCGGGGGGAGCGGCTGCCGCGATAGCACGCAGTCTCCTTCTCCTGCAACCGATGCGGCAACAGCGGTCATGACCCCCGAGAACGAGGGCACGCTACAGCTCGCGGACGACACGCCGCGAAGCGCCGTCGTCGCGGCAGCCGCCGCCCCCATCCCCCCCGCTCTTCTGTCGCCGCTGTTACCGCTACCGACGAACCGTGGCGGCGGCGGCAGCGACGGCCTCGACGATGATGGCATTTCCGGCTGCGGCTGCACGGACGGCGACGCGGCGGTGGAACCCCCGCTGCTTCCGTGCCCGTCGGACGCGGTCAGCGTTTGCTCGACCTTCTGGATGTAGTCCGACTGGGGCAGGGGGAGAATGCTCAGGCCGAACGCGGCGAAATTGCCGTCGTCTCGGAACTCGTAACGGAAGTGGACCAGCGCCAGAAAAACGACCCCAGTTCGGTCTCGACACTGAAGATGGTTTGGCAGGCGCAAAAGGAAAACATTTTTAAAATATGGTAGACATGGCCAAAGGGCGTTTGTTCCTTCCCGGAGGGCAGCCGACGCAGCGGGGTAAGGCAGGAACACGACTAATGGACGAATGCGCTGGGAATCAGAAACAGCCGCGCTTTGCATCACTCAACAACGTTGGAGATGATTGGGTGGGTCGGAGGATGGTTACACGACTAATGAACGAATGCGCTAGGAACGCAGCGCTTTGCGGACACCGTTCGAAATGGTGATCAGGGGGTGGCGGGATTGTTTGGTTGCTCGGTAGATTTTGGCAACGCCGACGGCTCTCGGCTTGCAGGGAAACCGATGTGCCTGCAGCAAGCAAGCGCCCCTGCGAGCGTTGACATGCTTATGTATGCGCAGAAAACCAAGCTACGTAAGCATCCGACGACCATATCGCAACAGCAAAGCAACCACAAAATCAACGCGCGCCCACACGCCCCC